TACCACAAGGTGAGTTCCTTTTTATTTCCTGCTTCTTCACACACATGCTCTTGCAGTACAGGTTAGCTCTGAGTGTTAGCAATGCTAATGTAAACACCGACCATATTACGTCCAAAACAGTCGGGCATTGTTTCTGATAGCAACGTTTCTGATAGGGCCGTGGGTCCACATTTCAGATATTACGTCATGTCGGACGCAAATCTGGATCAGCTCCGTTGTAGCCCCGTTTTTAGAGATTTGGGTACGGAGGAAAAGAGAGAGGGTTTCATTTTCTGACGCTGCGTGAGTTCCCTGACACACCGGGGACACATATTTATGTATAAAAGACATCAAAAAGTGCATTTTGCATGATAGGTTGTCCCCTTTAAGATAAAAAGCACACACTGTTTAACTCGAAGCCTCACGTACGTTCTGCTGTGCAGAAAGTGTGTGATCAGTGCCGAGTAAAACCGGAAGAAACAGGCCCAGAGGGAGACGATAACGTGATTATTTCTGACTCGTTGGTACTGTTCTGCTTTACTGAGTGGAATGAAAGACTGGACTCACCCCAGCTGGTAAACTCCCATTTCATCTCCACGTAGAAATCCTGGGCCTGGACAGGAACAGGAAGAGAGAGAAACAGAGGACGATAAATGAGACAGCAGCAAGCATTGATGGAGAGAATAGATAGAGAAAGTTGGGGAGATTGAAAGTGATTAATTTAAAGATTGATAGACAGAAAGAGAGGCGAATAGCAACGCAGAGGCAAAGCAGGGATGCTTCCTCATTGTCTGCTCCAAAGATGGGGGGACTGGCAAAGAGAAGTGGTTGTGAATGTGCGGGTTAATTATAGAAGTGACGGATGGAGGGTTGGAGGGGAGAGTGATGTGAATGGGAGCAGCAGCAGATAGAAGAACGGTGTGCGATGTTTGCAAGTGCTTGTGTGGTTGAGAGCGAGCACTCTGTCAGATTGTGAGGGTATTGTGTCTACCATGTGAGTGGGAGAGAATGAGTGTGTGGGATTCTGTGTGTGTGTGTGTGTGTGTGCAGATACACAGGGAGACAGGCTGTGTGAAGGCAGTTCCCTCCATCTCTGCTCTCTGCATCCTCTACTACTGCAACACCATCTGCTGCACCTCAACACTTTACTATCAGGATTCAATTGTGTATATTCTCATATAGTCTCAGCTTTCCAATGGCTGCTAATGTGCCTTTAAGCCTTGCACTTCTTACCCCTTTAGGGGAAAACTCTATTTATTTAGAGACAACAGGCTTTTGCCTTGTATTTCCCTTGTTGGGAAGTAAACAAAGTTATAAATACCTTCAAACAAAATGTGAATATTTTATCATGAAAGAAAAATATATATCAAAAAGAATTATCTACATTTCAAATGAATGCATCTCTGCTTAAGCCTCCCCCATGTGTCTTTGTATGTTGATTTCTATTTTATTCTAATGTATGTGTTTCTTCATACTGAACACGCTTGTTTGTGTGAATGTTGTTTTATCATGGGAGTATCTTTTTCCATGTTAGCATCAATGTGTGTGTGTATGTGTGTGTGTGTCTTTGTGTGTGTGTTTTGTAAAATCCCACTTGGCGCAGACGCTCCAGCAGGACGGGGATGCCCGCCAGTCTCTTGGCAGTCCTCTGGTAGTCACGGTAACGAAGCACGAGACGCACCAACTCCGGATCTCTTGTGCTCACCGCCTCCTGAAGAACTGAGAGAGAGAGCGAGAGACGGAGAGTAAAACAGAGCCCATCACTCAGACCTCATCCAAAATGTATGTGCATGAGAGATTTAAAGGGGGGAAGAAAGAATTGCCAAAACCGAAGTAGGCCAAAAGGAAAGCGACAAATTACTGCAGCTCGCCAATCATTCATCGGACGGGCACTTTGCTGTTAATCTCACAGGCTGTTCCACACTTCAACGGTTGTATAACAATTCCCTTTCTATTCCTTTGACAGAAAACAGTTAGAACACACAGTTAAAACAAACCACTCGTGCTTTTTCACCTACGGATACACTTCAGAGTCATTAGATTAGGTGTTACAAAAGAGAATTTTTCTACATAACCCCAGACTTCCAGAATGATCACGAGTCACGACCATACCAAACATTTCAATTTCTAGTGCTAAATGTCATCACCATTAACAGAAAAGACTTCACACAAACCTAGAGGTGACTGACAGCAAGCATTAACAAGCCTAAGAATGGCGGGGAAGATATTGGACTAACAATACAGGGTGTTAAATTAGCCAATATGATTTCAAGGTTAAAAATGAATTGATTTCACGCTCCATTAGTCACCCATTGCTAGACCGCCAAACTGCATTTACACAGCGCCAGCCAGCAGATAAGAGGAGTCTGGCAGAAGCTGTTCTTCGAGAGAGGTGATGAGGAAAAGCGTCATGATTTGTGAGTATTTATAAAAACAACAGAGGACAAACAAACCTTATGCCAATATTAAATAATATGCATTATATATTATCATATTTTTGGCAGGGGTTGCAACCGAAACAGTACTTTTTACCGAACATTTGCTGAGCATTGGTATATTTGGTTTGTACTGCAGGAGACAACTGTGCTTGACTTGTTAAACTCTTCTGGTCTAAATACATGCAAAAAAATCCTTCTGCTAACACACACAGTTCTCAATAACCAGCCCCCCCCCCCTACCTCACCGACCTGATCCACAACTACACCCCTTCCCTCAGCCTTCATTCATCAGAAGCGAACCTCCTCTCTATCCCCACACGAACCAAGCTCCGAACCTGGGGGGACAGAGCCTTCTCCATCGCTGCCCCCACCCTCTGGAACTCCCTTCCACAACACATCAGAGACTACACCGACCCCCCCACTTTCAAAACACTGACCAAAACACACCTCTTCAGACTGGCTTTTAATTTGTGAATTATGTTGTGTTGCTGTTTTAATATTTTTTATTCAATTTTATCTCGTTTTATCACCACTGTTACTGTAAGCGTCTTTGAGCACCTGAAAAAGCGCTTTGAAATTAAATGTATTATTATTATTATTATTATTATTATTAAGAATGTTCTTTACAAGTGAACATTTTCTGGACATATTCTCTGCATAATAATAAACACAGTAAAAGAACCAAGCATCATATTTTCCCTTTCTGATGCAACTCAATATTGCTTTTAATTCCCCTTTTGGATATCTAAGCATTTAAACATCACTAAATGCCAATATTAAAAACATGAGGGTACACACATTCAAAGAATATCAGTAGCTACTTGCTTCCTTCCTGATGTATTTGGTTGTTACTACTAAGGATTAAAAAACAATGATATATCATTTAAAAAACAATCTTACTATCTATACAACTTTTCTACACTTAAATGATATATAAAAGACTCATAATGCCTAAAGAAATACCACATGTTTAGGTTGGATTGTCTAAAATCTATGTTTTATATGACACAATAAGGATTGCACCTCTTCACAATTCCAACGTAGCTAGCTTTCACGTTTATTTGTGATGATATAAATATATACAAATAGTTCAAACCCATTTCATTTTTATTCTCTAATGAAGGCAAAATGTGGACATAAGCTGTTAAATATAAATTACCCACTGTCTCCACCACGGTCTTATTGTTTACTATAATTATAACGCACTGTCATAAAAACGTTGACAATTACATATTATTTATAAAAAGCTTGAATGTAGTTCACCAGGATCACACTGACTCACCGGTCCATCCGTTGCGGTTCTCCTTGCTGACGTCAGCTCCGTGCTGCAGCAGGATCCTGGCACAGTCCAGGTGGCCCAGTGTGACCGCCAGGTGGAGAGGGGTCCGGCCCCGAGGGTCCAGAAGCTCTAAATCTGTCTGTCAGGACGAAGAGGAGGGGGAGAAGGAAGAACAAGGAGAGAAAGAGACAGAAAGGAGAGTGTAAGGGAGGGGAATGAGAAAATTGGGGTTAATTGTGTTTATTTTTAGTTCTCTCTATCTCAGACGGAGAGTGCAATATATACTTCCACCTTTAATACTATCGCCTAGCTGCTATCTCACAACTGTTACTGGTACCGGATGTATATTTTGTAAATTGAAAATTGCGTAACTTCTACTTTTATCTTCAATATTTTACGCATGCTTCCTAATTAATATTAAGCTATCTTTGGCTCTTTACTTGCTTTGACAATGTAAACGTCCCCTCTGTGGGACGAATAAAGGTATTTTGATTCTGAGAGGAGATATAAACAGAAAACCATAACAGAGACACAAGTGTGAATGTGTGACTGGAGATGGAAAGAGACACAGTGACAGGTGCTAATATATCTGTCAACACTTCAACATGGCACAGTGCTAGATTCCTGCACTTATTTGTGGGTGGATCGGGTCTGGCTAAACGCAAAAAAGACTATCTGCTTCACACTTATAGCTTTTAATCAGTCTCTGTCTTGCATTCTTAAAATAATATCAAAGAAAATAATCAGTTTGAATATTTGGCAGGAGAATGTGACAGGTTAAGTAAATATGGAAGACAAATTTCAATCATTCATGCCCTGGAGTTAGCATCTTTGTTACCACAGATACATGTTGTTCTTTCTAAACATCGAACTGTCTGACAACAACATTGATGAGCATGAAGTTTAATTAATGCTTAAGGCGTCATTTCAGCTCACAGCTGCACTCTGCATTTAGAAGCATGTCAACAAGATGTCATTTATCAGGGCTATTACATAACTGTCGGACATATGGGGGAGGCGTGTGCGTAGGTGTTGGGATCAGGGGGTCACAGGTTCAAACCCCACTGCAGTCAGCATGTCGTTGTGTCCCTGAGACACTTCACCCCAAATTGCTCCTGTGGGGATTGCCCACAGTATTGAGTGTGTAAGTCGCTTTGGATAACAGCGTCTAACAAGTGACATGTAATGTAATAACACATCAATCATAATATTGCTCTGAATTAAACTAATCATTGCAAGGGGGTAAACCTATATAGATATAGAAAAAGAGCTGTTCAGTCTTGATGCTTGGCTTAATCGCTGGCAGTAGTCCCATATAAGTTTACAGAGATAAAAGTAACTATTGCCTGAGAAAGCATTTTATTCAGAGAGACGTAAAATTGTTTAAATGATCAAGTATAACTCACAATGTATGCTGAAGGGGGAAAACTGCAATAAATATTGATCCATTATCGGTCTACGCATGTATTTGATGTGCTCACTGGCCATTAAATCTTGACCACGTGACTGGACTAACTTGTTATTGGCACCTTGAACACAGGATTGTATGCAGTATATAGACAGGGTAAACATGTCATTATTGATCAGGTTGACTGAGAATCTTTCTCACACAGAAGAATCATTGGACCAGTTCACATGGTCAATAAACATTGGTTGCTTGTACACAAGCATGATATATTTGTTTTAACCACCCATCCCTCTCTCTGTTTCATTCTCCAGGCCGCTCTTTGCACACGGTGTTCATGTGTTCTCTCTTGCATTGTGCTGAACTGATATCCAAGATCTGCCATCCAATTCAACAAATTGCTGACAGCCCATCATTCAGCTGCTGGCTGATCCAAGGTCAGTTCTTCAGTTCGCTGCAGGGCTTAATCTAATTAAGAGATTACCTTGCAGTAAGTTTACCTTTCTCACAATCAGCACTGTGGACAATGGCTCTCTATTTTGAATATTGTGAAGAACATTGCGAGGGTTTGAGTTTTGTATGTTTATAATTATTAAGGTGGGGAAGGTAATTTTGGAGAAACCAGTTGAAGTGCCGTAGAATTTGGAAAATAGCACAATTGGGAAAAAACTCGCCACATTCGCTGTACAGAGCCCCTCCTCCAACACACACGAACGCGCACATGGACCAATGAGGGCACAGAGATAAGTTTTGTGCACAGATGGAAGGCTGGACCAGGCAGGTAGGCAATCCAGTTATTTTAGCAGGGCCGGACTAAAGATTGGTTTTCGTGCTTTTTACAGTACCACGGATTCCCACAGATGAACATTTTTTATGGATTTTTTGTCAAAGCCACTTTTAGTATTTCATTGCTATCGAGATGTTAAGAGCATTCATGGAAATTACAAAAAGTGTAATCTCGAGCGGTTTCTCAAACTTCCTACACCCACCTTTAATATCAGTATAAAGTAGTGAACTCAGGGAGAGGCATGTGTATCTATTGATCCATCAATCCCTAAATCAGAGCAAAGG